CCAAGCCTGTAGACATAAGCCTTGTCCAGGTGGTCCCATCCACCCTCGCACAGGGTAGTTTTCAGGAGGTGCTTTCTGGAACCCTCCACACAGTGTCCTGGAGTGCCAGACGCCAGGAGTGTGGAGGTGGCATCCTCGGGCTGTGAAGTGGCGGGCTTCACTGCCCAGGGCCCACAGGGCTGCAGGCTGAGCAGTTACGGCAGTTCTTTCCTCTCAGCTGAAGCAGGCGGACAACCCTGTAGCTGGGCCAAACCAATTTGTACAGGTAATTGGTGCCTGTGGCCGAGGGGTCGCAGGTTCTGAGTGCAGAATGTATATGCCTTGCTGTGCACCAGAAGGGATGCCCTCTTACTGACAGGAAAGGGAGAAGGGTAGTTTGCAAGCGGACATGAGGCAGTCCGCACCCACAGATAGGGGCTACCCTCTCACTCAGTACTGGGAAGAGGAGCGATTGGTGGGGCTCGGTGGAGCTTAGCAGCAGCGAGAGGTGCCACCCTCTAGTGAGAGGCTGAGGCAATGATCTCATAGGCTTGAGGTCCCACCCTCAGTAGTGGCACTAGTAGCAGAAGGCTTTACCTGTACAGTTCGCCTCTGCTGCTCAAGATAGTGTAGTGGTACTTTGCAGTACGGACTCCGGTCCCAAACACCAAGACGGTGGACTTGCAAACCAAGCTCAACTCGGAAAAAAAATTCAAACCCAGGTTGAAGTCCAGGTTTGAACCCAGGTTTGAACCTGGTTCAAGCTAGCCCAGATAAGCCTCTCCAGGACTCAGGAGCATGGGTCAGGCGTCAGTGTTGATTGTTGGGGGTGATTTCTGAGAGTGCAGGGTCGAACGCTGACAGAGTTTGGGGTCCGTGGATTTAGGGTTGTGGGATCTAAGGTTGAGGTGCAGAGGCTTTCGAGCCCAGTGAGCCAGGCTTGAAGCTTTGTGGTGCAGTGCCCTAACGGCCTCCAAGTTTATAAATATTGAAGATAGAGATGGGATTTAGGCTATATTCATATTATAGAATTCGTGGGAAATTATTTGACTATTTGGAATATATTGGATTAACCATTCAAAATGATATAATGATTTAAATGAATAGCATTCGGAACAGATTTATATTAACTAGATATGAAATGAGAAGATATTGAAATATTTATAAATTTAAGAGAAACATACAATCATCATAAGAAAATGAATATAGATGATATCTTGTGCTCTTGAAGAAGATACTAATACGATTAATAATGATAATAATGGCCTCACTATTTTTATCTGATATCGAAAAAATCTATTTATATTTAAATATAGAAAATCATTTTTTAGATGAATTTTGTATATACAAATTTCTATTTCCATTCAAGTTCTAATTTTTCATTTAAACATATTTCGATTTTTATATAATATTGGATTATTTCGATATTTCATATTATATAAGAGCATGTAATTATGATAAATAATAGTTAGGGTTTGAAACCCTAAACCCTCAGCCCCAACTTAACCCTAAACCCTAAACCCTAAACCCTAAACCCTAAACCCTAAACCCTAAACGGTCTACAAGATGTGAAAAAATTGTTGAAATGCTTTAATCTACATCTCTATATAAATAGATATATAGAATTATAATGATTTATTCGTGTTAAGAAGTTCGATGATATTTTGATTTTAAAAATGGTACGAAACATGTTTCTATATATATATATACACATACATATACATATCATAAAGAAAAAGGCTATTCTATTTTCCATAACTTCGGATAGATATTTCAAATTCGTTTCTTTCCAATTCTTATGAAATCATTAAATTCATGGACAAAAATGAACAATACCTTTTCCATCGAAAATCATTGTATATTCTTTGAACAAATAAATTCTCAATCTGAAAGAAAAAACTGATATAATTATTCCCTAATAGCGAATGCGTTTCTGGGATTGGTGTTTTTGATGCAATTGCGCGGTGATTTAAGAGATTGACAGACTTCCAAGAAAAAAATAAGGACGCATGCGCGCGTAATACTATAGAAATTAGATTCGACGGTCGCAATTACAACTAGTCTTTCTCCCATGGGAGACGGCGCAAGGTTGCAATAGTCTTTTCGTCCCTTGATTGGAGCCCTTTCTACAGCCTCCACGATATCCTTCGAGCACCTCATTGGCTCGTCAATAACCGTGCTGGCACCTTACTGGCCCCAATGCGCAGGCTCCAGATATTCTTCTCCCACCTCATTGGTCCCTTTCTGCAGGCTCGAGAAATTCCAGTGGAGTCAAGGATTCTGTGCGGAATCCTGGAGTCTGCTGGGCCGCCTGGAAATATACGAATTCCGGGTCTAGACAATACCGTTGCATGCACTTTCCCGCATTCCCGAGTCCTATTAGAATTCTATGGGGGCCTTCGAGGGCAAAACACGCACAAAGCCCTCGAAGGACGCCAATTAGAAAATGCCATGAGTGGAGGACGTTGCTTTTAAATCAGTGCGAGAGAATAGCAGAATTCCCCAATTGTGAAGAATATCTCTTTACATACGAAGGATATGCAAATGGGAGACCCGTGCATGCTCGCACAAACCGTAGCAGTTGAGTCACAAAGCCATGAGGGATGGCGAGGTCATTTCGCCGCCGGAATCGCTGCGTGCAAGCTGAGTACTGAGTACATCCATCAGCAGCGTAAACGCTGGCAAACGCCTCGGTTGGAGGTATTCCAGCTTTGGCAGCGATGGGAGATGATGAAGAAGGAATTACCGCCACTTGGAGTGGAAGTTGAGAAGTTCTTCGGATAAAGAAATACGTGTGGGGTGGAAGCGGCTGGGCCCCCGGATTGGAAGAGGGCGACGTCATCGTCGAGCAGCTGGGGGAACCGGAGTTACGCCCACGTATGACGTGGGAGATGCAGCCAATCGAGGAGTGCTACTGGACGAAGTGCTTTCAGCGCTAGAGACAGCAAAAAGAGCACGGTTATAGGGGTCAACCCAGCTGTGGCCTCTCCAACTTCTTGTTGCTGCGACTTTTCACCAGTCTTAAGGCGGTTATGTTTTTGGATGTTTTTGGGTTTTTTTCTGATGATGTGGTTTGTTCAGGTGTTGTGAAGTGTTTAGCTTCACAAGCCCCTGGCAGCAGTCCGGGGTGTGTGATGCTTTGTTGTTTCCCAAGAGCCCAAGAGCAAGTTTTAGCTTCTTGTTGTTGTCCTCGGGCCAACAGCTGCCGAGCGATTGCAGCAATTTCCGGAACTGCCTCTCTCGACAATCAAAACGCGAGTGCTCATTCCACACCTTTTTGAAATGACGCCGGAACGTTTGTTATTTCATCGTTGATCGAATTCAACCTGCACATGTTGCAAAATTTCGCCAATTCAATTCTGCGGGTTTGCCGCGGTCGTCTTGGTTCAAAGTCCTTTGGTCATTTATGTTGTGGGTCAGTTGCCACAACTGAGACCAATACAATTACAAAAGATAGCTTCTGGAAGTTATGTTCATGATTTTTTGCACGCACCAAAGATGCAACATCCATGGCATTGTGGGCACCACAGCTTGAGGTTTAGACATGTCAACAGCCGATGCCTCAGGATTGTGATGAGCCCGTGTTTTTGTAGTTGTGGGCACGCTGATGTGTGAGGACCGATGTCATAATGTCTGGCAAAATCAACTTCATCCGGAGGCCGTGACATGAGAATTGAATTGGATCATGTACAGCTTGGGGGTTAGGGCTTGGGGGTTATGGTGCCACACTTGTTTCAGCTCGTGCAAAAGATAACTTTTGTGTTGCATGGAGGATTTTGGTCAACCGTTGTGTTTCTTTGGAAGGTGCAGCCTGCTCGCGGGCCTGAAGGAGCGATGTCCATACTGCACGTCAACGAGCGTCCAGAGCAGTGTCGTGTTTGAGTTTCGTTTATTGTACGTCACAGCATAAAGATTAAAGCTGTCAGCTGTCACAATGTTGCATGATATGCTTTGGCACAAGAATCGCAGAACTAAAGCCTTCAAGGAATCAAAGGTGCGTGAAATTGGGCTCTGTCATCACCAAATGTAATGTTGTTCTTTATTGAACCAATGACTTGATCCAGGCTCGCGGAATACAGCAGTGGACCTGACGTTCTTGAGGAGATACAGGCTGACTCCATGTTGCACCGATGCCCATGTACTTCATTCACATGCTTGATCAGTTGCACATGTGGTCAGGCTGCGCAATGGTGTGGACAATCATTCGTCACAACCTGAGCTTTGCGCAAAGCCTGGGTTTTTCAGGTGCAAGACGGCATGAACAGGAACATGATTTTTCAAGCTCTGTTGGTGTCGTGCAAGTTACCCATGTAGGAATGCCAACAACCTCAATAAGTGCAATGACTCCTTGCAAGCTCTGATCTGCTGTGCGGTTTTGCCAAGACTCTGTTCTCTTGAGACTTGCTGGTTTGGCAGAAGTGGGAACAGGCCGTTTGCGAATCTGAATATATGGCCTTGTTATTGCTGTGTCTGCTGAGGTCATTCTTGTTTGGCGGGCCTCTGGGTGGCAAGTCAATGAGCCGGTCAGGGGTGTTCACGTATGTTGCATTAGCCAAGTGGATGAATATTGCAGCACGGGCCGAATCGCTAGCAGCAGCTTACCATTGTTGCAACTTCAGGGGCTGTTGATTGGTGTTGGCTGTGCTGAACATGTGCGACCAGCGGCCCTCATTGCAACTTCCCTTGCTGTCACATCGTCGTTCTCAGGTCCAAACAAATCTTCCATTCGAAGACAACGGAAAACCAGGACATTCTGGCAATGCTTCTGCGGATTGTGTTTGATCGTACAGGCTCGCACATGTCCCTGCGATTGAACAATGTTTGCTCACTGCTTTGTGCTGGATCATGCCGGCTCCGCAGCTGTTTTGTGAATGAAGCAGAGCACTACATTCAACTTGCCGAAAATAGGGTGATGAGGTAAAGCCAAGGCAAACAACACACACGATCTGCATGTCGATTGCAGGCATTTGCAAGAAGTACCATGGATCTATTGTAGTCAAGCCCCCACCGAACATCAGAACATGACGAGTTCAACTGGCGGTGCAGATCCAGCCGAACGGCTGGCTTCTGCCAAGAAGCTCCGAGAGGAGGGCAATGCGAAGTTCAAGGGGCAGGACAATGCTACACAACAATGGGCTAGGAGAGGGTCTGTTTCTCGTGTTGGGAGATACGACATGGTTTTGGCACAGTAGCTGAATGCAGACTTGTGCAGTGTATTTGATAGGATACCTGCCAGAGCCTGAAGCACCATGACGGACGGCAAAGTAGCATGAGTGCGCTTTGAGTGCTTCGTGAGTTGCACCAGCTTTCAGGACATCGAGGGGGCTCGGAAAGCGTACAGCGAGGCCGATTCTTCAGCTGCGGAGCAGGTAAGTCATGATGTCAGCAGCGAATCGGTCAGCCGGAGGCGTTGCGCCTCACTCAATTCAAAGAGATCCCCGAAGGCAGCTGGGTCAGCAGTGTAACAACAGCTTTCTGAGCGCTCTTCTTTTCGCATCTCTCTGAAGGCCTTGGTGAGGAGCTGGTGGCTCTGAGGAGGCCAACCCAGTTGAGGCTTCGCAGCATCTATGCATTTGGGTACGCCTGGGGAGGCTGTCCGGATTTTGGAATGTGCGCATGCCATGAGTGATGTGTCAGTGATATGCCAATGAGGAATTTGGCTTTGGTTTGTCTTCGTTCGGATCCCACAGAGCCCTTCCGAGCATTGGAGCTCTGTGAGGCCGGGTCTCACAGATTCTCACGTTCGAGACTCCAAGACTTCACGAAGCAGTTCTTGAGTATATAATCCTTGCATCCGCATAGTTTGGGAGCTCAGCTGCGATTCCATCGCGCCATGTCAGGAAGTGTTAGACGCAGAGCCCGACAATCCAAAGGCGTGTGAGCTTTGCTCACGGACCTGAATGTGCACATGGTTGCTGTGGGGTAAAGACGATGTGCCTCAGTGCTGGTGGGGGGCTTATCTTGGCATGCGTGTACCAGGCAACATACCGGAAGGCCAAAGCCTTGATGGAGCCTCGGCTTCCATATCGAAGTGTGTTATAGGAACTCGCTTCTTCTGAGCGGATGTAGCCCTTCTCTCCGCTGGCACAAAGGAGCTTGGGGAGCAGAAGGAAGCCGAGTGGGAGCTGGTGCGAGCCTGCAAGCTCATGCCAAAGGAGCCGGCGATCTGGGAAGTAGTTGAGTTGGCTGTGCAGTGTGATGTGACCGCCGTGACCGGCCCAGAGGATGCTTCGGTGAGGAAGGAGCTGGAAGCACTGCGACAGAGCTTTCGAAACGACAAGGCCAAGGAAGTAGCAACCTTCCAAGGCAGGTTGTGCTGCGTTGCAGAAAGCAGATTGTGACTCCCAACCCTTGTGCTTTTTTCTGGGTTCGTCATAGGGTCGATGTCCAAATTCTTGAACTTCCATTGAGGCCTCTTTGAGAAGAGCCCTGGATTTGCCTCAGACAACCGCAAAAGTGATGCTCAGAAGCTGACTAAAGCGGATGTGGACGACATCTATTTCCATGATGGCAAGGACACTCATTGTCGTATTCGCCGCTCTTGCTGTCGCTCGACTCTGCATTCTCTGCATGTCCATCACAGGACAATCCGTACGAGGGCGCCGAAAATCCACAGGAGTCAACGACGGGCTGCCGAGTGCTGGGAGCCAGGGTCTTGCATTTTGCTTTTCTGAAGAGTGCACGGGTCATTTCTGTTCGCCAAAATCTTCACTCTGTATGTGATGTGCGTAAGACATGTCTTCTGGAGCTTCTTCCCACGCTTTGACAGGAGCTGGCCAGGAACTTCCAGTTGTCCGGCAAGTTAGAAGATGCAGCCCAAGCCTGGGAGGCAGCACGCTGAGCTGTTGCGGAGCCTTGCTGAGCCTCTTGAAGGCTTAGGCGTAGGACTACCTTTGTATCGTTGCCGTGGCTTTCTGATTGCATTCTACGGTGGTTTTCGAGCTTTGCTTCCTTTGCCGAGGTTGCAATGGGAAGGACGGCGTCTAGCGAGGACTGGCAGCTGGACGCTATGAGTAGCCAGAGCCACCACATGCGCAGATGCAAGTGCTTCGCCATTCTGAGGCAATCTCACTTGACATATGCGTTGGAGTACGGTGCTTTGTTGATGGACGTGAACATCGACCGGCTAGCCTTGCGTTGCTTCAACACTGCATCCTGCCCGAAACAGATCTGTCGATGTGGACTTGCGTATGGGGCTCACAACATGTGTGAAGTCCGAGGTGTTTGAGCGCCCTGTCCAGAATGAGGACGCGGAGAAAGCACTATTCGAAGTCAGGCAGGATGTGTCTCTCACCTGGCCTCTTTTGGTTCACACGGGCATGTCAGTGGTGCGCCTCGAGCAGTGTTAATCAACATGTCCCGAATTCGTCTCAGGCAGCACGCCTTGCTCCTCAAGTCGATATGTCTGTTAAACGAAGCAGCAGAAGATCCGCAGGTGGCATGACCAAACTTAGTTTGCAGAACCTCCTGTATGTGATGTGTCTGCCTGTCCGTGAGGCAGAGATCACCGAGTGCCTGGAGAAGTGGCTGTCAATGGCACATCCCGGAACCTCTGCCTGTTTATCGCAAGCCTCTGTTTTGATCGGTCGAAGTGGTCCTCTGTGGCATGTTGTGGCATATTGCGTCACGGAAAAAGGCACGCAGCTGTTGGAACCGGGCTTATGCCAGGTTTTGGCTCTGAGGATGCGCTGGAGCAGAAACTCCTCCGACTTCGAGATGAGCAGGCAGCAGGGTTCTCACTAATGCCGACTTCCGCACGTGTGCAAAATGAATATTAATGTCGGCCTCCTGTTCATGCTCCTCTCACGCTTGCCGCCCCCCAGGTACGTTAGCCAGTCCCGCTTGAGACCCACAATGTAAGAGGGGAGTCTCCACAAAAACCTAGACCCCAGTCTTCAGGAAACCCTGAAGCCCCAGCGGTCTCTGACCTAAAGCATCAGCACAGGTCCGAGGCCAACTTCTGCTTATACATGAGTTTCGGGAATGATTGAGCGGGTCTGTTGCCACATGTCGTGCTTTCTCCTGAGCCAAGGGCAGCAAGGCCAGCGCCGATCTCGCAGTGGCACTGGGTTTGCTGCAGTTACTGCAGGGCCAGGCAGGGCTTCGAAAGGGATCGTCAGCCGAGAACTGTTCAAAATGCTTAAAATGGTTCAAGTGGGGAGGTGTTGGTGAGGAGCATCGCTGTAACAATCTGTGCCATGTGTATCCCATTCCACAGACCGGCAGGTCGAGGTTCTCTTTGCTTAGATTCTGTGGAAAGTAAAGAAGACTTCGCGACAAAGTCCGGGTCGGCAAGTGGAACAATGTTTGTAAAGCGTTGCTTCTTCAAGGCTTTCACCGACAGAGGGTTAAGACATGAGACATACACAGGGCTTGTTGGACTTTTGTTGAGGGACTTGGTTGAGCACTCCTCCCGTCTTTCCGCTCTGCGCAAGTGGCACTGCCATTTCGCCAGTCTGAAACGCTTGTTTTGAAAGATCATCTGCTCCCGGGAGGGAGAGTCGCTGGTGGTCGTAGCACTTTGCTCACCGCTTAGGGCCTTCGGGTGCTGTAGTGGTACCGCTCAGCCCTGAACTATTCTGACTTGCTTGCCTTGACTTAGTTTTTGTTCTTGGTTGCGGTCCGGCCTTTGCAGTGCACAAGCATCCACATTTGCCACGCAAGAATGAGCTAGCTGAGAAGCGACTGCTGTCAACATAGCTGCTGCATGTACAGCTCCTTTATGGTAGTTGGCCCAAAGCAGTGAGACAGCTTCAAAGTGCATGTATTTTGCAGGGTGCTGCTTTTCTTGCCCCGAGTTACTGGGAGTGGCTTTCGTGCCCCCTAACATGTCTGCTCCCAGCCTTCGGCGAAGAGCGTTTCGTTTCCCCAGCAGTTTGGTCTTGAAAGCCTGGAGCCTGATGAGCCGTGTTGCCTTCTGTTTTTGTACATGCAAGCTCACGTTTGATTGCCGAGCCGGACATGGTACAGGTGAGGTGGCTTTTGGTCCGTTCAACAATAGTTGGGGTTTGTTCTGGTTGTTCATGTGTTTGGAAACCAGTTCATTTCAGTTGTCCAGCTTGCCTTGGCGCACCGAGACGTTTCTCTCGCCAATACAAACGTATCGGTGTAAGAAGCACATTCCAACCCTGTTCTGAAGTCGAACGTCTAGCTGTTTCCAGCTGTTGGCAGGAGTCAGTGGCTTCGACATTTGGCTCCGCCTTGTTGGCACCAGAGGACACCTAGTGTTAACGTGTGCCGAAATTTCATTCGTTCTCGTGAACGCATTGAGCTTCACCCAGATTGACCCTTGTCAGTGTTCAGAGTACACCATGTGCCTGGGGTGGGAGGACGAGAGCTACTTCGGGGCTTCTCGTCGATGTGCGACCAGGCCACACCGGGCCTTGGACTGTAACATTAGACTGTGAGCAAGGCCGCGCAGGGCATTGTGGCGTTGCCCGTACACCAGGTGGAACATGCTCGGGGCCGTCCTCGCGAATCGTGGTCGTCCAGAAGATGCCGTTCGTGCATATCGCTGTGCACTATAGCCAATGTCTGAGTCAAGTGCCAACTGTTTCGGACAGTGCTTTGTCTGCTCTGCTTGTGACGATTCAGTGCGTAGATCTTTCTAGTTTCGTTATCTTTTCTTCTTGAAGAGAAAGAATGCTCTGGACATCTTGGACAGCTGGCAACCCCACTACCCGCGTGCGCTGATCAACTTGGCCATGGCAGAGCTGAAGCGCCGCTCTGCCTAAAGTAAGCTGCTGAGCAGTTTAGGGTTTAGGGTTTAGGGTTTAGGGTTTAGGGTTTAGGGTTTAGGGTTTAGAGAACTGGGGCAGCAATGCAACGATGAGATTGTAGTTACATGAGAAGGGCACGAAGTGAGGCTTGCTGTTGACACCATTGAATGGTAAACGAAGACATTCAAGCCTGCTTTTGATGTTATGTTGCGGTGCGTATGGTCTGTACATCTTCACACATATTTATTTGTGTATATATATAAATAAATATAAATATATAAATAAAAACAAATATATATTTATTTATTTGTTTATTTGTACAGTATACACAATTAAGTAATGTGCATATAATCTGTTTGAATGTCTGATGCTATGTAGCAAGTGGTTCGACAGCTGCTAAACCGAAACACAGTTTATGATCATGCGTGTATAGTGCATTCGTTAAGCTTTGTCATGAGCAGTTTGTGCTTTTTTTCCCAAATTCTCAAGACTTGGCTTTGTGTCCTATGACTGTAAGTGCAGTGCTTGTGCAGTTCTTACCAGTGAGAAGAAATGTCCCACACTCTAGCTTTCGCTTTACTTGTGTCCTTGGATGGATGTTATGAAAGTTTAGTCCAAAGCTTCCGGCCAGTAGTTTCATCGGATGAACGTGTGGCCTATGCTCCCACTTCTCTTTTTGCCTTCTCCTCGGCTTCGCAACAACTTTGCAGCCTGCTCAGGTGGTGCCTTCCTTGAAGCAGCAGCTGCGCAGGCAAAGGACAACAGAGAGAATCCAGAGAAGCTCCATGCAAAGACCCGCAAAATCATGCAAACAACATGCAAAACTTCCCATGTCCTGATCGACTTGTCAGGCCGCAGCGATTGCTTCCTCACCTAGTTGGGCTTGCGGAGAGCTCTGGGGACAACTTGAGAAGGCAACGCGCGCCATGGTGTTGTGTTCATAGTTTGCACTGCGCTGCGCTGCAAGGCATTCACATGAAAAAACCACGCGCCGACAATCAGAGTGAAGCCGCAATCTGTGTTTCTTCAAACAGGAAGCGCTGGCGCAGACTTCAATCGACCCGAAGCATCAACAGTTTGTCTTTCTGGTTCTGGGAGTTGGGAGTTGGGTTTAAGTCTGCCCAGAACAGTTTCAGCAGCTTGACGTCATAATTTCCAGCTAAGAAATGCTGAGGCAGGCCGAAGGGTTTCACTTCTGCCCACAGTCTTCTGGCTTGAGTTGATGAAGCTTGCATGCTCAAACCAAGGACGATCTTGCCGAAGCCGTCCAAGCTCGTCACATTTCTCGGGCAGTAGTCTCAGAACTCTTGATGTTCCGAGATGTTGAGAGACTAGCCTTGTCATGGCTTATCTGGACCGCGGGCAGAGTGTGTGAGCAAATAGCTGCACAGCTGCCACCAGCTGCGATAGTGACAGCGCTGGATGAGACATGCTTCTTCATCATGAAGCCGCTTATTCGACGAAAGAATCAGCTCAGCAACTCGAGGGCAGCCTCGATTCCTTAATCTAGTTTCTTGGATTGAGGAGCGACCGCCCTGACATAAGAGGCTCAGCCCTAAAAGGCTCAGCCCCTCGTTGTTCTGATATCAAGAAATCCAGCCCCTCAATTTTTGAAAAGGGTGAGGTCCCCCCCCCCCCCCACCCCCTCCCTCCCAACCAAACCAACGAAATTTTCACCTCAACTTCTTAAGATTAGGATCAACTTTCGATTTCAGGGCAAAGCGTTGGAAGCTCTAGATTAAGAATTGAAGGGATGTTTCGTACTGCGGGGGGTGGGGGTTGGAGGGAGCAGCACCATTCCATAGCAGTCCCTCCGTACAAGCAATTGAGGGGCTGGATCTCTCAGTTCCGGATCCAGCCCCTCAGGCACTCGTGTCGGACGAGCAACAGCAACAACAATTGCGAATATTGTTGCCCGGGCTGAGGGGGTGCCCTCGATTTCTGGATCTAGTACTTCTCAATCCATGAATGGATAAGCATTGCTGTCGCTGCACCATAGTGGTTTGATGGTTTCCTTTGGTATGTGCGATGACTAGCATTGAGGTTCGTGAACTGCTGTCTCCGCACTCCGACAACCTGGACACATCTACGCTCACTGCAACTTCTCCTGCAGAGGTGCGCCGTGTGTCGGGCCATTGTACCTCAACGTCCAGTCATGAAAGTCCCGTCGCTGAAAATTTATGCTTGCTTGCTGGGTCCCCGGCTTCCCCTTCCGCCAGGTGTTGAAGGAGATGAAGCTCGCATAGATACGGCCCTCTTTGCGCCTTGGAGCAGCAAGTTCGTACCACCCACATGGTCTCTTCATGTTTGCTTTTGACCTCATCTTTCTCTCTTTATCGTTTTGTTTTTCCTCTCCCTCTCACTCTTTCTGTTTGTCTCTCTGTGCCGTTTTCTAGATCTTTCTACATTTTCATTCAAGCTCTTTGTCGCGTATCTTTCTTGATGGATGCTCCAGCACCCGTGCAACACACGACTGCCGGGGAGCCCAGGTTCCCACCAGGTTTCATCAGCTAAGATGTTGCAGCTGGGCCGGCAGAGCAGGCCCAGCAGCATGAGCGTTGAACGGCAGAGGCCGTTCGCTGCACTTTGTTTTGCAGCTAGCGGCTGCTTGGACAGCCTAGCGCTTTAACAAATGTTTGTGCCACGCAGGTCTGCCAACGGATTTCCAGTCACTGTTTTGGTTCTTCTATGTTCTTCTAGATCAGCCCAGGGCCGACGTTGTTCGGTTTCGATGAACCGCAGTGACTTTTGTTTGCTCGGAACTCCGTCATCAAGTCTGCATCAAGTCTTTAAGTCGCCCCGCTCACCCGCAAGCGTTCCCTGGAATTTCTTGCTTCAGCGGAGCTGACAGCTCAAAGATGAGACTCGCTCCACGGGAAATTGCACAGCAGCACACTCAGGTGCCTCACTCGTGTGACTCGTTCAGGTCTGATCTTGTGTCTTCCCTTCAATATCCGTTGATTACTTCCGCAGCACTTCTGGCTTGTGACATTGTGCTTAGGTCTGTGCGCAGCGGAAGGCATCAGCCATTTTCCAAATCAGCCGTTCACGTGCAGGAGTACAAGTCCTTTTCCAACTTGGGCTTGCCCAACATCTCGTTGACTACGATCTTCAAGGCCCCCGCTTGGCGCTGATAGCCGGCGATAGCCCATGCCATGCCGGATGTCAGGGCTTCATTCTGCTTGCAAAAGGGAGAGTGCTAAGCCGGCTCTAAGACATGCGAAGATCCCCTCTGAGCTGTCGAAGTCTGGAGGTGATCGCAGCAGCAATCTCATTGGCAATCATGCTGTTTGGCCTCATCAAAGCACTCATCGGCACGCCTGGCACTTTCAGACGGGTCATGCATTGCAATGTTTGCCAGCTCTCAACCCCGATTCGAAAGCCCATGCCGGGACAGGAGGCTCAGCCCGAAGCTAGCAGAATGCATGGCCCGGGCGCGTGCTGGTGCATGGATTAAAGTGTTTTTGTTCTCCTGGTCCTGTACTCTGCAGGATGGCAGTCACTCTTGAGCGTTTGCTTTAAACGTCTCCAACAAGCGTGTCGACAGCCTATCCTATGCCACAGAGTCTGCCAGCTGCTCTCAAGAAGCTCTTCAAGACGGTCAAGATGATCACCAAATGCCTGCTGCCAAGAGCCCCAAGATACACAAGTTCAGTGACAGAGCTACCAGGGTGCCATGCAGCTTATACTGTAGGGCTACTATAGGGGACACTTATGTGCTGCAGATGCAAGCAGTATGTCGATGCCGAGCCTCAGCTGCGCCCTTACAACGCCGTTGGGGGGCACGATTACAGCATGAAGTCCGCACACCTCAAGTAGTCACGTCTATTCGCTCATCAGCTGGAAGGCTGTTTGTTGCTGACAGAGCCGTCTGTCACTTATGTGTCCAAGGTGGAGACTTCATGCCTGACATTCCAGGAGCGAAAGCGGGATGGAAGGGATGGTAGGGATGGGGGAGCGATTGTTTTATCTGCCCAATTGAGAGGACTCCCAAAGTTGCCGAAGCTGGTGATCCCAGGGGTGCCAGGCTTACCAAGCCTCGATCTCGGACATGGCATCTGACGCTCGGGGCACCCTTATGCCATTGAAGCGGCATGTGCTACCGAGGTCCACCAAAGCTTTCCCTAGGCCTGCCCATTGCTGTTGCACGTTGCGATGCCAGACGCCACATTGGACGTGAGTTGCTGCTGTTCACCAGCTGACCACCTGCTGTCGGAACAATCCTCCGGTGAGTGAACTGCGCGTAGCTGAATTGCATGTTCGTGGATGCAGGTATGGCCTTTTCCATGCTGGGCATCTTGCCGCAAACAGTTGGAACACAATGGACACAGGGGTGTGGGGGGAAGACAGACGTGTCACATACTGAGCCATGATGAGCCAGATGCGCGATGCTCGGATGCCTGAGGCCTTGGCATGTCAGCTCTGCTGATGCCCTTGGCGATTCTTCTTGCCGCTCCAACTGACAGAGTGTTACACTGTTACACATTGCTACAGCCGTTTGTTACGCCGTCGTTTACCATCCGTTACATCCCCCAAAGTGGCGTAAAGCGACTGCTCAAAGGCCATTGCGTTGTTGGCCAAGTACCGCATCTTCAAGGCGCGGCTATGGCCGCCGCTCTCAGGCACCGTCGCCAACTGCAAAGTGTCTGCAAAAGCACATGCAACTGCACTCTGCAAACTTTCCTATGTGTCCGGCATACTTGCCGGCTATGTTCTGCGGCTCATTCGGCTTCAGCTTGGCACTCTAGTTTGCAGTGCTTGTAAGACTTGACGAGCAGCTTCCCCAGGTGGCTTGGATCCAATTGGCAGCACAATGGTCTGCATTCGAGTTGTTCGCTTCAGTGGGGAAGTCATGGAGATCCCCCTGGCCCTACCACGAGACGAACTCGTATGCACAGGATACGTGAAGATGCAGGTCGCAAAAGCTTCCCTGCGCACACCCACCGCCTGTGCGGTTCGGCTGATCGGCACCGATGCGAAAGAGATCGGAAATTCTGAGCAACTCACTTGGGAATGCTTGGAGCAGGGAGTGCTTCAGTATGCGCTAGTGGACGTGATGTCCATGGCTCCGCGTTTGCTGAATTTGGATCCGTTCCATCTCATCTTTCCTGCAGATCCGAAGAAGCTGATGGACCCAGGCCTTGTCATCGACCTCGCCTACGGGATTTTCGAGAAAAGGGGTCGTGATGTTGATGTTTGCAAGAGGTTCTTCTCCGCTTGCACAGAAGCAGTCATGGGCACATCGGAAGAGGAAGCAAATCAGGTTGAGCCAGATGGATGCACAATGCTCACCACAATGCTCGCCCTTTGGGATGAACTCCGGCGCCGAAGTCTGCAAAGTCAGTCCTGGGACGGGTCGCCAAGTCCATTTGGTGCATGTGCCCTTCCTGCCGTCCGCATGACGACCATTGGCTTTGCCACGGAAAAGATGCAGGTTCAGACTCTAGAGCAGACCTTCCAGACGGTCGGGGGCGTGCTCGTGGAGGCAACGTCCCGGGATCCTAATGCGCTGAACTTGGAGCCATTCCATGTCGTCTTTCCGGCAGATCCGAAGAAGCTGATGGACCCATGTCTTGTCATCAACCTGGCCCACGGTATTTTCAAGACCAGGGATCGTGATGTCAATGCTTGCCAGCAGTTCTTCTCCGCTTGGACAAAAGCAGTCATGGGCACATCGAAAGCGGAAGCAAATCAGGTTGAGTCAGATGGGTGCACGTTGCTCACCAGAATGCTCGTGCTTCTGAAAATTGTGTATGAAGCAGACGATCCTTCCCGTCACCCAATGCCGTCAGGCCAAGGCCAGTGCGAGTTCGGAGATGACTTTTTCATGCCGGCCCAACATGCCATTGTGAGGACGATGATTCGGCTTGTAAGAAAGAAGCTCCACATTCAGACGGTAGAGAAGACCTTCCACGTCTCCCCCAACGATGAGATGATAAAACTCCTCTGGACCTTCGTGCAGGACAAACTCTCATTACCACGAGGCACCACGACCCCAAACCCCCCACAAAGTGAGCTCGGAAAATCCAGACCCTAAACCCGAACCGCTGAACACTGAACCCTAAACAATAAACCCGAGCAATCTCCCTGTGACTGTCCCCAGGTGCTGGGCATCACGGTGGCCTCGTTGAGGGGTATGGGGCAGACCTGATGCTTGCATTGATCGAGCGTGGCCTTCCCAGGAGGTACTGGGCAGGTTGCTTTGGCTTCTCTTGGTGTTCCGTTTAGTGTTTTGGGCTTAGGGTTAAGGCTAAAGCTGTATCATGCTGTATCGTTCTTGGGTCGTGGTTTCTTCATGTCTTGCAGGCTGCTTGGGCCCTTTCGACGACAACCTCCTGCAGTACATCCTCGAATCAACATGCCAACCTGTCCCGTATGAACACACTGAGGCCGAAGGAAGGCTTAGCATTGCTCTTGCGAAGAAGTACACTTTGGAAGAGTTGTGCCACCAGAGCTCCGACGGTTACAATGCACTCTTCTACGCTGAGCGTGTGGCTCGGGAAATTGAAGACAGATGGCCGGTGAATGCTCCAGACGGTCTCGGGATTTGGGTTCAACTTCGTGGCGTCATGAGGGCGCAGCTGCAAGCTCGTGCGGGGGAGTTTCAGGGCACATTGTGTGAGTTGGCTGCGCTGATGGGATCGGTGAGGTCGGCCTTGGGCGGCCAGTCCCTTCCGGCGTTGGATGAACAGCTTTGGGTCCGGGCTTCATTGGTTCGTCAGCAGTGGTTGAGAATGGGATGGCATTTTACCACAAATGACAGGCACGGACAAACCTCGGAGGTCGTAAGTTGGCACTTCCAAGCAGCGCGCCAGGGCCGCGGGGCCTAGGATGCAACTCACGAGCCACCCGCCATCGCAATGACTTCTGTGAGCGCGCCTTGCAAATAATTGCTCATTGAGTTGAATTCACCACCTCCCCATACATCCCTTCGCGGCGCGAATGCGTCTTGCGCAAGCCATGTATAGTTTGGCGTGGGGAGTCGTCGAAGTCAGGTTCAGCCTCTCATGCCGAACCCCGTCACATTTCCACGAAGCACTCCGTGACCCTGCAGCCGAATCATGAGATGGTTCAGGTTCTGAGCTTTCAGTCCTAAGCCGCTAAGCCACTAAGCAATACCTACCATGAACATCCCTAAACGTGCTCTCAATCCTCAAGATGGGGACCGAGGGTTCAGTGCTTTAGGGTGTGCAGGATTTGGGGTCTATAGTAGTTAAGGGTTGCAGGGCAGTGTTTTCGTGAAACTCTTTCAACGTCGAAGAACTCTATAAGAGCTGCCAGGGGAGGTTCCATTTTGCCGGAACTCCAGTTCTGTCAATGACAGAGGAGCCTCCTACTAAGCATTGGCCAATCTTGCAGTTGCCAGCTAGCTGCTTCTTTTGTGCACTGCCTTCAGCACGAGCGCTGCAAGGCAGAGCGAATGTCACAACAACCCAAGCGACGAAGTTCGAAAAGTGCAGCCTTGAATGGGATCCTTATCGTCGTTGCTAACCTTGCACCAAATGCGGGCGATGCCACCTGGGAACGGGCAACGGTCGATGGTGAGCCGATGAACGCACTCACACCGCATGTGCGCACATTCGATGCGCTGGCCCGCAAAAGTCGACATGGGGAACCACAGCAAAATGGGAAGTCGACATGATTATGGCAGGGAAGGGGGCAGTCATCCAAAACGGGCCAAGGCATGCAAGTGTGTTGCAGATGAAGGGTTGAGTAGTGAGTTAGTGCAGAAGAATGTCGACCCAGCTCGTACCTTTTTTGGTCATTTCACGCGGCTTAGTTCATCGATTCGTCAATTTCGGTTCAGGCCTTCCGGGCCTTCGCAACGGCCTTTATCGTTTGCCTTACCGCGGCTTCAAAGGCTCCATCCTTAGCTTTCTGATGCTGACAAAGAGCAACGTGTCCGCTGTGTGTTCCTGAGGGGCGAATCTACTGTTTTTTGCTGAGGAGTCTTCTCGCATTTGCCCTACTTCGACCAGCTGTACAATGCGGGTAGCCTGACGAGCTTTCACGTCGGAGATGATGCATGCCTTCAGAAAATGGGCATGATTCAAATAGTCAAATGTTGGGACACATTTGCACTCAATGCTGTTTGACAGACGATGGCACTGGCATTGTATGGAGGGACGGTGCACGGAGCTTGCGTAGCCACAGTTCCTTCCGCAGTTGCTTTCTTACATTGTCCATTTTGATAATTTGGTTGCACTATTTCTGGCGTGGTGCTCTTTGAATGGTGAGTTGTGCTCTCATGACATTTTTCAACCCCGAGTTGTGCTCACTCACTCATGCTTCTCTGACCTGGCCTTTGCTCACTCCATTCCATCTCACCTTGCGCCAATGCAAATGATTGTTTCCCTCATGATTGTTGCACCGCTTCGCAACGAACAACAAGATGCGTCGAGTTTGTACTCGCCCTGGTGCATGTGAGTGGCTGTGATTGGACGCATTTTCTTCCAACCCGAGCTATTGAAGGATGAACATATCTCAACCGAATGCAAGATATCAGAGGAAATGGAGGCACACGGACTGTGGTTGTTGTCTTGTGCCTTGCAGCTTGCGCCAGGAGGTCGCGACGTCCTCAGGGCTGCAACATCTGGGAGAGGGGGTGGAAGCTTCTTCACGTGCGTCATGGCAGTCATCGGGTGATGGCTTCAGGTTTTCTGGGTATTGCAGGCCTTCCCAAAGCCGCGATGAATCCAGGCCAGGAGACAATCGCAGAAACATGTGCCCTGGGCTGAAGTCTTCTTGAGATTCTTAAGCGCTGCGAGCAGGCAAGCAGCCAATGGCGCCTCGCCGCCCGCTCAGAACTGCACAGCTCGGCAGAGCACTTATTGTACTAGCATGGCTAGTCTTAAACAACGATGCAGGCATCTCCAAGCCCAAGATCGAGGGTCCGGGAGGTTCCTTGCTTGAGTCCGTGGTACGTTCTCCACATAAGCAGATGTGTTTGAAGTGCGATTTGCTTTCAGCTCCGGACTATGACATCGTCATGAAAGACTACGAGTTTTCTCATGGCGTCTGGCACCCATGGCATCCCATGAGGCAGAGTAATGATTCAGCTCAGAAAGTAGATGTTTGGACCTTCCCAGAACCAGCAGTTCTGAAGTGCCTGGGCTGTACTGAGAAAGGTCAAATCCAGCTTGCCAACAGACGATTGTATGCGTTTTGCTGACCTTGTTAGTTGGATGAGGTCAATCTCGGGAAGAGCCTGCTTGTGCACTCGATGATCCTCAATCTGTCCATGCGTTTCAAGCAGCCTCTTGGTCCCAGCAGTGCCCGTGCAGGAGGTTCTGCTTGACCCGTAGGATTGCCGGCTGTCGCTTCGTGGAGCGTAAGGTGAAGTAGAGGTTTCTGCTTGACCATCCAACCCCCGTGATTGCTTCTTTCGCTGCCTAGGTTCAAGGAGAAAGTGCCGCTGATGGGGCCTCCAACTGTCTGGGACGAAGATTGGAAGAGAGATTGCAAGTTCCTGCGAACCATGTGATGTAGCGACCACCCCTTGTTGTAGCGTTCAACACGAATGAGAAGCCACGTCGCTAAGGAGAGATGGCTTGTGACACCGACAGGGCAGAACCTGGACCTTTCATGCCACCACGATCTCTGAGGTGAAAGAGATGTTCGGCACGGAGGGCATCATCAGAAAGCTGCAGCGATTGCTGGTGAAAGGACGGCCTAAGATGTGCACGCGATCTCTACATCAAGAGGCCGATGCTTGACCTACTCTTCCTTGGTTACACGTGAGGAGCCATGGCGTATGGAGCCTACAAAGCAACCGGCTTCGTTGCCGAGGTGCGTTTGCTGCCACGATCATATGTGCATATTTATGCATGACCGCCCTGAGAAAGGGAAGATGCCCGTGGCCCTCTGCGCCGCTGGCTGCCATGTTCTCAGACTCACCGGTGTATTCAAGACATGGCAAGACTCTGAGAAGGGAAGAATTGAAGAACGGGTTGCGGTGCGACATGGCGCGGCGCAGAGTTTGCACTCTCAGCTTAGCAATCCTTTGGACCTTCAGGGGCCGGCCTCCAGCTTTACATTGCTTGGCCCTGAGTCAGAAGATGATTCTCTAACTGACTTGGGACCTTCAAAGCCCACTGATTAAATTTATCAGCCAACCCGCTAAGCGGCCAGGTTCGGAACCGGGCTTGCGCTCGAGCAGTTTTCCATGCCAGGCACAGAACAAGAATCGAGTCGTTGCGCTTCGGGACGAGGGTTTTGAAATGCATGTTTTTAGGTTCGAGTGTTTCAGGTTTGGGGCATGTGTTGCTGTTTGGCATGGTTCGGGGTTTCTGTGAGATTTCTTGTTGTGGTTCTTTTGCATGTCAGATGTTTCGGGATTGTCGCTTTTCTCTCGTTCCTCTCGTCTCTTATCTGACCCAACTCATGCTCCACGCCGTCCTCCACAAAGGTACGGTTGAGTATGTCTTGTTTGTGCCTTGGTTGTCTTTTGGTCTGAGCTGGCATGGAAGTAACTCAGTACCTTGCATCTGAGCTGCAAGCCTTATTTCAGACTCGAGGGAGGGTTGCATGGCAAATCCTATGCCGAGAAAGAGATGTGACATCCCACGGGAGCACATTCCGAGCATCCTCAGCTCCCGTTCCAAGACGTGGGAACTCGATCCTCTCCCGACAACAGTCTTGGTTGAGACGTAGCGGGTTAGGGAAGTCATCTACTGAATATACTGGACGAGTGTTCTGCAGAGATGCTCTTATTACTGGAATGTCAGGTTCAGGCTTGGATGAACATGGACAAGCTGACCTGGACGAGAGGTAGGAGCCCTTGATGGGCTCTGCACATGCGGCTTCAGTGTAGCTGTCGCCTCTGATAGCGATGCCGGTTCTTGGATGTATCCAGTGATGTCACCAATCAGTCTGACACCGACGCCCTTCAAGACTTCAGCGCCAGTACTCCAGGCGGGATTCTGATGCAAGTGTTGCTCCAGTCACCATGTCCGTTGCTGTTTTGACCACACGGTCGCCTGATTCGTGTTTTTTCTAGGACTAGCAACCTTGGTCCATGCTCAAAAAGCGCGTTCTGCAGAGACTCAGTTTGCTTGGAATGCAAAGCAAGAGTGTCAAGTCTGTGGGTTTACATGCATGTTATGCCTGCACGATCCTGCGACTACGATGCCGTGTTCTGTTCAAATCCCTTTGATGCCCATTGGCAAATAAGATTCAATTAGTCAAAAGCAACAGGGTGATCCATGCGCGTGTGACACGGAGGCTGGGATGTCTGATGAGATGGTGGGCACTGTGTTGACCTTACAAGAGATCCAGCATCATCATTGGTGCCTTGGGTTTGGTATTGGTGCACTTTCGAAGACCATGATTCCGGAGGCAGAGCGTGGTGTTGCAACATGTTGCTCTGTCCAGTAGGAGCCTGGAGAAGTCATCCCAGACTGGACACCGCATGCGGATGAGCTAGGAAATGGCTTACCTCTTCGCCTCTTACACCGGAGATCTAGGACTTGGAAGTTCTTTCAAATACCCCCGCAATCTGGCTCAAGGCCCTGTCGATGTGCCAATCGCTGCCGAGTCGGAGGAGCCTGTGTCACGGAGGCCCAGCGCCAGCTCCAGCTTGCTGTTGTATGATGTGTATCCTCGATTCATGCCAGACAGCTGTTTTCTTGTCGTTACCTTGGATTCGGGTGCTTGAGTTGGTGCTTGAGTTTCTGTGTTGCAGGATGTTCGAAGACTCGCAAAAGAGCGAGGAGCCAAGTCAAGCGCACCTGCTGTTGCTCGTCATCGTATTGTTGTGCATGTCGCACCGATGTCGCACCTGTCTCCTTGTCCTGTTTTGCAAACCTGATTTAGTAGCCTTTGGAGGCAGTGCAGAGGTGTATAAACGAATGATCTCAATGTCGCACGGCCAACAGTATTGCGATTCAGCACGTAAATGTTGCTTTGGCCATCACAGGTGCAGTTGCACAACTTCCTGTAGAAGGTTCTGGTGCTGGCGTGACCGATGCATCATGCTGCACTGGCCATAGCTCCAATGTTTCGTTTGCCGTGACGGCTAAATGTTGGACGATGTCAATGCAAGAACACTCTTGATGATCGAGAGAGTTCCAAGTAAATGCTGGCTCCGGCAGAGCCTGTCCAATTCTGCCAAGTGCTTCAGAAGGGACTGTAATGACCTATTTTCTCTTCATGATACTGGTGACCAAAACGAAGGAGAAGTCAGGTAGGCCACAACGGAATCAAGAAATGTCCCACATCACGGGAGATTTCAACCCTTGATAATCTTTCGAAGCTTGCGAGGACCCTTCGCTGACAGAGTGTCAAAATGCATCCGCTTGACTTCGATTAATAGAATATGTTGGCTGGATACGAGCCCCGACCCCCAACATGAGATGAACATTGTGCAGTGTATATTGTACATTCTGTATTTTACATATTCTGCATTGCGGACTCTACATTGAGCATCATACATTGTACATTTCTGCACCTTTTGAATTTAATTTTATATTCTTTATTCTGTATTCTGCATTGTGTATCGTGCATTGTACATCTTGCATCGTATATCGTGCATTGTGCATTGTGCATTGTGCAATTTAGGGTTTACTTTCCTCTCCAATGTAGACAATCCCTTTTACGTAGGATTGTTGCCTATTGAGTGAGGCAAGACTTGGTTGAGTTGGCTGAGTCCATGGCCATTTGCTGGGGTCTCGGTTTGCTCGTGATCGTGATGCGAGTCTCCAAATTCTTTTGTAATTCGGGGTGGTGGCGGGCGTTTGAATGTATGGAAGAGAATTTGAGGACTTGTGCGGATGGTATTTTGTGGTCATCCGAGACGCTGGTTGTCAAATTAGTCCTTTTGGGATGGGATCGAATATCAAATCCCTCTTCGTCTATTACGAGGTTATAGAAATCATCTTTCATTATTTTAAGGGGCTGCGCCCATGGGCGGGCAGCGCAGGCAGAAGCGCGGGGCGAGCAGTTTCTAAGCATTTTGAGGCCCCTAAACTCCCTTAAAATCTCTAAGCGTTCGAGGCTCCTCAACTCCCTTAAAATTTCTAAGCATTTTCAGGCCCCTAAACTCGTTTGAGGCTCCTAGACTCCCTTAAAGTTTCTAAGCACTTTATAAGGCCCCTAAACTCCCTTTTTCCTAGCCCCGGGCTGAGACACGTCGCTTATGCCCGCCCTTAGGGGGGCATCATGCTCCTGATGCGCCCCCGGGGTCCCGCCCCGGGAGCCGCTGATGCTCCTGATGCGCGCCTGGGGGTCCCGGGCTGGACCTGCTGATGCTCATGATGCGCGCCCTCTGGGGGCCTCCGTGGCGACGCCAAAAACCACGAAAAAAAAACCGTTCACCGGCGGCACGCGGGGGTCGGCGGCACTGGCGTCCGGCCTAATTCTGCTTCGCAGAAGGCCAGAGGCCAGCAAGGCTATTCCCGGGACGACCCGGGTTAAAAGGTCCGCATTTGCTCGGTCCTTTTGGGGACCTCGCGCTGCCCGATTTAACGGCTACCGCCAGTGCCGCCGACCCCAGACAGGAGGGCGGGCGGCAGGCCGGCAAACCGCAGAGCCAGTACAGGCTCCGAGATTTAGGGTTTTAGGGTTAAGGGCTGTAGCAAAAATATTTAAAAAGAGTGAGTTCTATGTATAACTAATATCTATACACATAGTATTTTAAAGTATATAATGAGTTTTTGGTAAACATGAAGACCACAAGATAAAGGAGATATCTTTTAGTTATCTTTTATCTTTTTATATCTGTATAAAACCGAAATTCATATCTTTGGGGCTCGGGGCAGGGCGCTAAGGGTGGTGGGGGCGCGAGGGTTGGGCATGCGCTGCAAGTATGAGGGGGGTGATGAAGCAGGCAGCAGGCCTGTACTGTGTGAAAGCATTGGGGGTGGGGGTGGGGGGGTGGGGGCGGGGTGGGGGAATCTCCCTTGTCAGAGCGGGGGTGAGGGGGGGGGCGGTGGGGGTGGGGTGGGGGGGGTGTGGGGGGTGGGGGCGGGGGGGGGGGGGGGGGGGGGGAGGTGGGGGTGGGGGAGAGCTGGGGTAGGGCCTGTGGTAAAAGGTTGGGGCAAGGGGGTAGGGCCTGGCCTACCCTAAACCCTAAACCCTAAACCCTAAACCCTAAACCCTAAACCCTAAACCCTAAACCCTAAACCCTAAACCCTAAACTCTTAAGCTTAAGCCTGAGTGCTCAGCTAAAGCCTTCTCACGTACAGGAGCGTAACACACCTTGACGGGAATGTAAACAAATGACCTTCTAAGTCTTACCTAGAGGTAAATGGTAATTATAGAATATAATTACAGCCATTTACAGGTAAGTGCATGTCTGTATACAAATATTCTTTAATATTTCTATAGACAGTACTGTCAGTACTAATACAAGAGTTATTTAACGCCCTAAAACCCTGACATCAAACCTTTTTTGGACCCCAGCGTGCTCGTGGCCAGCCAAATGCCTGGAGCCAAAAATTACTCGGGAACAGCGCGTTTTTCTTTGTCTGGTCTTGCTAAATCGTGGTTGAAGCCAAAAATGAAGCCAAAAATTATTCCAAAACAGTGCGTTTCTCTTTGCGTGGCCTCTCTGAAGCTCTTTCGAAGGTCTGAAGGAGGCTGAAAGCTTTTGTGAAGGTCCCAGGGAGGCTCCGTGGGGGGTACCCCAGGATTCGGGAAAAATGGCTCGATTCCCAATTAATTCTAAATAGATTTTATATAGCGGAAATTACCCCCTCATTTTCTAAAATTCTGGCCTTCTTGTGGGGGTAGCCCAGGAGAGGGTAAGCCACCCTAAGCCCCAGTCAAACCCGGATCAAAAAATGGACACT